CATCAGACAATATCATTAATAGCACATGCAAGCAAAATTTTGCTAAAACCATACATTGACAGCTTCCAGAAGTTCAAGCCAGATTCAAAAGTGGATGTGGAACATGGGATATTATTGCTGACATCAGATGGATGTTGGCTGAAGGCAGAGAATACCAGAAAGATGCTTACCTGTGCTTTATTGACTATGCAAAGGCTTTCAATTACGTGGATTATGACAAGCTATGGACAACATTGTGGAAAACTAGTATTCCAGAACACTTAATTGTGCTCTTGAGGAACTTTTACATAGATCAAGGGGCAGTTGTTCAAACAGAACACTGAAGGGAACACTGAAGGGTTTAAAATTAGAAAAGGTGTGCATCAGGGCTATATTCTCTCACCATACTTATTCAAACTGTATGCTGAGCAGATAATCCAAGGAGCTGGATTAGTTGAAGAAAAACGTAACATCAGGTTAGGAGAAAGACTCATTAACAACCTGTGATATGCAGTTGATACAACTTTGCTTGTTGAATAGACCATAGCAGAATAGATGCATTTGTGGTATGGTGTTGGCAAAGAATATTGAAAGTATTATGGATTGCAAGAACAAACGAATCTGTGTTGGAGAAAGTACAGCCAGAATGCTCCTTAGAAGCCAGCATTGTGAGACTTAATCTCTCATACTTCGGGCAGAAGGGACCAGTCTGTGGGGAAGGACATTTTACTTGGTAGAGGGTCGTTGAATAAGAGGAAGATCACCAACAAGATAGACCGTCACAGTGGCAGTAACAATTGGTTTAAGTTTCTCAAAAAATTTGAGGATGATATAGGTCAGGGCAGTGTTTTGTTCTATTGTACATGTTGTTGTTGCTGTTAAGTGCTGTTGAGTTGGTTCTGATTTATAGTGATCTTGTATAAGGGTTCCAAGGAGTGGTTGGTGAGTTTGAACCATGATCTTGGGATTCAAACCCACCTTGAGGTTGAGTGCTTATCCTATGGTGCCACACCAGGACTATAATTTATATGTGCATTTATAATTTATATGTGCATATAAATCAGAGTCACTTCAAATGCACTTTACAACAACAACAGTCTAACCTAGAAGACTACTTTTTCAGCTCTATGTGGATCTGTTGTGATTCCTGGTGTTTTTGTTGGCTAATCCTGGGAATTAGATTGCCACTTTCTTCATCTGCCTTAATCTGTAAACTCTGCTGAAATGTGTCTGTCCTGGGGAACCCTTCTGGTATTTGAAATATGATGTTGTTGTTAAGTACCGTGGAGTTGGTTCCGACTCATAGTGACCCTATACAGGGTTTCCGAGGCCATAAATCTTTACGGGAGCAGAACGCCTCATCTTTCTCCTGCGGAACCACTGGTAGTTTCAAAGTGCTGACCTTGCAGTTGGCAGCCCGACTCGTAACCACTACACTACCAAAGCTCCTATATTTCCTATATTTGAAATATAGTTTACAACTATTCTGGTATTTGAAATATAGGTTATAATGTAATGTTTGCAGAATTATGGCAATATGCAAGCTACAGTGGAGCAACAAATTGACAGATAGGTGATGGATTTAATACCTAGCCTAAAATATAATAGCCATATGCCTACTTGTCTTCCCTCGCACTAGATTGTGACCTCTTTGGTGGCAGAGATTGTTTCATCTGTGTGCACCAAGCATCTAGCTCAGTTATAGTTCTGGTTGGTGGACACTCATAAAATTTCAAAACAAAAGACCAGTAAAAATCACCTGTAAAAGGTCTAATGTCTCTCCCATTGTAAGCATTCTAAATGAATTTCCTTTCTTCCCCACCCTTGTCACTTCCCTTCATTGTTTGTAATCCCCATCAGACATTGGCTACCAACTCTTAGATCCTCAACATTATGAATTGCCTGGAGCTGTGCTATGTAGTGTAAGGAGCCTTGGTGGGGCTGTAGAATAAGCACTGGACTGCTAACTACAAGGTCAACAGTTCAAACCCATCAGTTGTTCTAAGGGAGAAGGATAAGCCTGTCAGCTCCAGTAAGAATTTAGTCTGGGAAGTCCTCAGGAGCTCTGGTAGCGTAGAGGTTATGAATCAGGCTACAAACCTTACGGTCAGCGTTCGAAACTACCAGCTGTTCCATGGGAGAAAGATGAGAGGCTTTCTGTCTAGTAAAGATTTACAGCCTCCGAAACCCTGTACAGGGTCATTCTGAAACGACTCCACGGCACATAACCACCACTACTGGTGTGGCGCTGTGGGTTAATGGGCCAGACTGCAACGCCGTTTGAACTGCAAAGTCAGCGGTTCAAGCTCACCAGTTGCTCTTCGGAAACCCTGTATAGGGTCGCTAGGGTCGGATCCGACTCGATGGCACTTAACAAGAACAACAACAACCATGAGTTAAAATTGACTCAATAGCAAGTGGGTTTGGTTGTTTGATTTCGTGCTGTCTAGCTCTGGTAGTGCAGTGGTTATGAAACGAGCTGTGAACCGCAAGATCAGCAGTTCGAAACTACCAGCTGTTCCGTGGGGGAAGGTGAGGGTGTTCTGCTCCCGTAAAGATTTACAGCCTCGGAAACCCTGTACAGGGTCGCTATGAGTCGGAACCGACTCCATGGCACATCATCACCACCAGTATCCTAATAAATAGGCTCATGTGAATATTTAAACTGATTAAAATGAAAATTTTCATTCAACATTCACTGTAGCTTAAATGGTACCTATGGGTACCTATGGTTTGTTGTTGTGAAGTGCCATCAAGCCGATTCCAACCCACAGTGACCCTGTATAGGGTTTCCGAGGAGCAGCTGATGAGCTTGAACCGCTGACCTTGCAGTTCAAACGGCTTTGCAGTCTGGTGCATTAACCCACAGTGCCACAGAAGGACTCCCATGGCTAGTGCTTATCATAGTGGACAGTGCAGATACAGAAGATTTCTGTCATTACAGAAAGTTCCATTGGATTGTATCAACTGAAGGGACCTCAGAAACACCCCTCACAGAGTTCTGGTGTGACTCTGTAGGAGAAAGGTTCAATGGCAAGGTTGATTTGAACTGCAAGACCAGCAGTTCAAACCCACTGGTGACTCCTCAGAAACCCTATACAGGGTCACGATGAGTTAGAACTGACTGGATGGCAATCAACAACAACAACCAGTAAGACTGAATAATTGAAAAAAAAGACATTGGTACTGAATCGTTGAAATCTGAAAAAAGACAGTAGCAGCCTAGTAATTAATAGCTTATATGCACATGAAGGACGAAAGATGGGCAGCTTATTCTTAGTTAGAAATGGTTTTATTAATATCATTCAATATGTAGACTAGAGATGGATTAGATAACCTCTGAAGCTGCTTTTATTCATACATAATTGAAAATTTTGTGTTGTATATTTATAAACTTTTGTCTTACATTTTTTAGAACCTGGTAAGATTACAGGACATAATTAAAGGATTTCAGTTTTCTAACTTATCCTACCTCTACAAGGAAATTGTAAGTCAATTAATGGTGATTTTAAAAATGGATTTAGGAAGATCTCTAATTTCTAATAACACTATAAAAATTTTCCCCCTTATTTTAGCATTTCATAGAATACATTATTATGTTCTATAATATCACATGTCCTGTTATCTTTCCAGTATGATTCTAAAAATCATGAAATTGGAACCAATTAAGTAATATGCTCAATAAAATATGGATGGATTGTGTTTATATTAAATATAATTATAAGGATTTCTCAGTGAAAAATAAAAGAATGTTTAACTCTGGAATTTGATTTCTTTTTTTCTGAGATAAACTAACTCGATAATCAACTCCATTTTTCTTGGCCTTCTGATACAATAACAGTATGAACATTGCTAAAAATAAACATAATACATGCATTCTGTAGCATTTGTTTTTTTTTGTTTTTTTGTTTTTGTTTTTTTAATTAAATGTTTTTATTTTGCATTGAGTGAAAGTTTACAGGGCACATCATCAGCTTCACATTCAACCATTCATATAGCTTGTTTCATTACATTGATTATTATCCCCGCCATATATCATCAGTTTACAGTGTTTCTCTCTATCCTCTTTAGCTTTTTTTTTTTTTTTTTTTTTGGATGGGGGGGTACTTGGCTTTTTGGAATTTACAGTCTCGGCTTTTAGGGAAGGTTTTTACATTTGTCTGTGGATATCCAGGGCTCATGTATGAGATTACTAACAAGCATTACTGAATAATCAGATGAGGGACAGTTTGTTATGTCTACTAGGTGGCTAGAGTCTGATCCTCAGAGCCTATGGTTTGGACAGTCAACAATGCTTGGGCCCACAGTGGCTTGGCCTCCTGACCGGGTCTGTACTGTCTGCATCTGAGTCCTCCTCCTTATTTATTGACTGTTTAAGGGACGCTGCCTGTCTTAGGTGGTCAGTGCGAATTACTCAGTCTTACCAGTCATTGAGACTCATTGCAGCATGGCAATGTCTCTGTCTTAAGTAGCCGAGGTTCCACATGATCCTTACCCGTCTCTGGCCACACGTCCAGCTGTAGCATTTGTTTTTAAGCCAAAATAATCTATACATATCAGATAATGCTTGTGTTAGTAGAGAACAACTGAGTGGAATGGAAGGGGGCTGTTTCTACTTTTGTTATGAAATATGATGATGTATTAGGTTAAGCAGAAACACACCCCTTGATTATGGTCAGATCAGAAAATGGAAACTGAAGAGTATTACCATGTGTTTGGGACAGGGTAAGTTTTTCCCTTTCAAAGAAAGACAAAGTCCAAAAGTCTAAAACACATAATAAAAACAATTGCTTCTTTCTGACGGAACCCTTAGCAGGCTTTTACCAGGCTTTTAATCCTTAGTTCTGAATCTTGCAGTGATATGGGGCTGGAAAAGAAGTATGTGCCCGTTATGTGATACGTCCATTTCTGGGAGTACATATGGCAGTGAGCATATGTAAGATATATGTATTCATAGATAGAAAATGTACAATAGATGGGGTGTTTCATTGTGGCTCCTTTTTTCTTTTTCTCTTCTATAGGAAGTGGTTTCAGATGAAAGGCATCAAGGTGGACAACTACTGGAAGAACCAAAGTTGCTGCATTTCAAAGGGAATACCTTTAGTCTTCAGATCTCTGTCCTTGATATCCCCCCATTCCTCTGGAGAATTAAACCATTCACTGCATGCCAGGTACTGGCCAAATGGGTTACTAAAGAAACAACTTTGCTTTAACCAGCAAGAGTTGTCTCCAACCCTGGTGAGGGTCCTCTTGATTTTCTTCCTCCTTTATAAGTATGGATTTTAAATTTCAAAATTATCACAGAATGTAACAGTTTTGGTTACACACAAGAAATACAACATAATGTCTTATATTCAGAAGTTTCTAGCCAATAGGGAAAAAGGTGATAGCATGTCAGATAACATTTTTCCTCTTTGAATGATTGCCCAAATCACGAACAACTTAAAACTAGGTTAATTTGTTTGTTGATTTATTAAAATAAGCTTATTATAAAACATTGTTTTCAATGATATTCAGCAATGACTAACCTTGTGAGAAACCTATTAAGAGTTAGGACTTTAAGTTAAACAGCTACAGCTATGTGGGAACAGGAGATTCTATCCTTCATATATGGAGTGCTTGCTGCAAATGAATTGGGCAAGATGGGAAGAAAGAATTATATATTGGAAAGCCATGGAAGGATAATTCTTCTTTAGTACATATACATATATATGATGTTTATATATTACTATCAACATGCCTTTGGATTGGAGTTTTTGTTTTGTTTTAATGCTAAAGGGTGACTTAGAATCTCCTTGTGTACTATTTTTTTTTCAGATGTTTTACTCTCTACTTAGCATGAAAAGATCTCTTATAAATTTATGATCCTGCCAATGAATTCATGAAAATTCCCAGTGATAAGCATTGAGGAGCCGGCTATTGTGCCATCATTTCTTAAACTAGAGGCATCTGTGTTTATGTGACAGGATGTTTCTAAAACTCTGAAGAAGCTTCTGGTGGAATCATATTGACCTGGAATCACAGGAGGATTTCAGACTTCATTGTTCTGCCCATCAGCATAACCTGCAGAGCTCTGTGGGCTTTTTAACCTGTCCGTACTCCGTACTCTTTTTCTTTCTTTCTTTCTTCTTCTTCTTCTTTTTTTTTTTTTTTTTACAAGTATACACAAGGTATGCCAGCCTACTGGAATGAGAACTGGTCAACTCACAAACAGAAAACCCTGATTACAGCATGAGAGTTAGAAGAAAGGTGAACCACCAACCCTTTGAACAGCTAAAATTCAGAATTTCAAATTTGGACAAGGCTATATTTTTCTATTTGCTATTTCAGACTTCCCATTATCTTAGGAATTGCCTATCTCTTTACTATTTTACTGTATTCAAAGCAACAAGAACATCGCTCATGTCTCCAAACTTTTTTTGTTGTTGTTGTTCTGACACTATTAGTCATTTTTTTTATAGAGAGATATTTTCTATGAATAAATGTTTTGTTTATGATATTCAAGACCTAGGTGGCTCTGTTTTCCAGTAAGCAGTATTCAGTGTCTAGTCTAAATTGAACTTCAGGGTATTGTTAAAGCAAGTCAAGATAGTGATACAAATTTCACTTTATTAATCTTTATAGGTTATAAGGGCCTTACTTCACTGGATCTAACACAAGTGAATCAGTCCAAAGTAACTATTCAGTCTATTGCTCAGAGACAAAAAAAAAAAAAATCAGATGAAGAAAACATTACCTTGCAGCAGCACTTAAACAATAATTTCAACATCAGGGATTCTAAAGAGATTCCCAAGCAGAGAAGGGCTAAGTGCCTTCCGACCTCCTAGGATGCAATAGAGACAGCCAACTCCAAAGGGCATTGGCTCGTAAGAAAACCCAACATGTTTTACTACCAGGATGAGTTGGATTGGATGAAGGTTGCGAACATGTATAAATATTTGCCTTTTGTAATTGAGTATAATTTGAAAGAGTCTTAGAAGGCTGAGAAACAATTTAATTTTCTCTGCACCAGGAGGCTTACCACTGAGTTTTCATTTTATTTCATTTTTCTTACCCACAAATGGCCTTATGCTCTATTCCTCCTTCCTCTTCACTATCCCTACCCACCAATTTCCTTGCCCCAGTCATCTTTACAATCCTCCAGCTTGTATGAATACAAATTGTGTTTGGCTTAATGTCCATGCTGTGTTTGCTCCAGGCATTAGATATAAGTAGGGTTTGTGTTCAGCCTGCTTGAACCTCATGTAGAACATCATGTGTACTGACAAACTTGGCGTAGATAATAGAGAATGGCTTTTCATTAGGGCTTAGTGGTTAGGAACTAACAGAGCCTTTTTCTTGTTATCCCAGAGAGCTATTGTGAAGACAGAAAATCACACTCTTTTTGACATCATTTATAGGTCTCCTCTTCAACTAGTAATTCTCCCTGTCATCTTCCAACTCAATACAGAGAAGACCTCTAGCAGTCTAATTTCTCTCTGCCTTCCCTTAACTTCAATTGAGGAATCTGAGAATTAGTATATTCCACTTGGTACCCAAACCCTTCCTTCCAGGAATCTTCCTAATTTCTTCTGGGAAATATGGAATTCCTCAGGTAGGTACAGGCTTGTGTGGTAACCACTTCCTAGAATGTTAGTCCTAACAATCCCCAAAAAACTACATGAGAAAGATTTCAAGAAAGGTGGGATATTAGAGTTCAAGATTGGGTCCAAAGGTATGTGATGAGAGGCTACATATAAGAGGACCATCTAGATTTTAAATCTTCTCAATTTGGGGATTATATATAATTTGTGGAATACTATGTTGCAACTCTGGAGTCCTGGCATAGTACTGGGGTTAATGTGCTAGACTGCAAGGTCAGTTTGAGCCTCAAGGGCAGCAGTTCAAACCCACTAGTTGTTCCTTGAAAAGCCTATACATGGTCGCTATGAGTTGGAAATGACTCGACAGCATTTAAAAACAGCATGCAGCAACCCTATTGCTTATGAAGCCAGATATGGTGAGTGAGATGACTTAGTTAGGATTTGGTGCATTCGTTTCCTTTGACCTCAATTCAAAGAAAAACTTGGGTCCATAATGCTATTCGTCCCCAATGTAAACAATGAACTATTCCTCATTTTTTTTTTCCTCAGGGTTTAAGACTCTACCACAATTAGGGACAAGTCACCATCCCCTCCTGAGAGTTAACAACCTTCCTTTAGGTGGTAAATAATTCTGCTTTCAATAGGTTGTTGTTGTTAAGTGCTGTTGAGTCCGTTCTGACTCATAGCAACCCTGTACAGTGTTTCCAAGAAGCAGCTAGTCAGTTTGAACCACTGACTTTGTGATTCAAACGAACCTTATGGCCAAGTGTTTATTATCCATGCCAATAACTTCTTAATCACATTTCCCTGTATCCCTTACTGACTATGGAGTAGGAATGTGTAATAAACTGCATACAATAAAATATTAGTTCATTTTTAAATGCAAAAAAAACACAAAGGCAGGCTATCACCTCCCTAGGATAGAAGCAGCTGTCTTTTTCAACATGCTATAGATCTTGGAGAATCCAATGTCTGTCTCCTGCTAGGATATGATTTACATTCTCTCCATCTGCTAGGAACCTAATTATAATGGGAATCAAAATGAAAATATTTCCGGAATTCTTTAAACACCCATAACTTGGCTACACTTTATCCTCCCATATTACTTTCTACATAATTTTTCTCAGCCCAGTGAGCATTGCGTGTGTGTGTATTTTAATAAATAAAAGCAAAAAATGATTGTCCTGAAAAGATACTGATTACAGTGCTCTGAATATATTGTTTTTAAGTGCTTTGTTGAGCACTATTGGCAGCTGCTACTTAAGTCACCAATAAAATATATTCTCTTGATTTTTCTAAAATATAATTTAAGGGAAAAAATACGTTTTGCCTGTATTAGTGGAATAGAAGGAAAAGAAAGGTGTTTTAGCATTGATATCTTGTATTTCTCTATGAAAAGATTATCTTTGCAGTGGGCATTACTCTCTTACCTTTCACTATTTCAGGAGAAAATATTGAAAAGTTAGCAAGTAAAACCAGAGAAGATACTTTTAATTAAGAGCACAGCATTGCTCAGGATTCAAATCTGTCCAGAAAATACAGACTTACTTCAAGCTGTACCTGGAATTCAGATCTATCTGACTCTGAAGTTCACACACTTGCATTACACTTAATGACTCAAAGTTCAGTTTTAGGGGGAAAAAGTGAACAACATTCTCTTGTTTTCAGCTTAATTATGCAAAATCATCTATTAACCACAGATCCCTCTCTTATAGTTACTTGCATTCAAGAATCACATACCAAGTGGGTCTGCAAAAATTTTACTGATTTGGAGAAGAGAGTTTATTTCTGAGGGCTAATCAAAGTCAGAAAGGAGAAAGAGAAAAACCCTTGAAGGCTTTGGCAGACAATAGGCAAAGAGTTTTCAGCAAACAAAGATATATGTGAGGGAGTTAGAGCTCCTAGGTGATCTGGTTACATCAATGTATCCCACCATGGTGAGAGGTAAAGAATGAACGCTATTCTCTGAAGAATATAAGGAATACCAAGAATACCAATCAATTGCTCTGTTTCTCTCTCCAGTCAATCTCCAACACCCTGCTAGCTCTCTATAGTAGAGATTGAAGGACAGAAGACTGATACATTGGTTACTACAGTTAGCTACAAAGAGGAGAGAGAAGAAGACCATGACTGGAGATAGAAAAATTGGAGAAGAATGGCAATAGGAGAACTATGGTGATGATTAATTTTCAAATGACAAAATTTCAATGGAAACTAAGGTCCATATAAAATTATTTGTAGTAAATACAGGTATAATATCAGGGATTGGCATTGATGTAGCTTTTGCAGTTCTCCATAAAGACATGGGAATTGGATACATGTAAACAGATGAGATCTTGACAAATTCAGAAGAGAAAAGTGGAAATGGAAAAGGCTGAGATATGAAGTAAGGGTTATCCAAAGTTTACTAACTGCAAGAAGGAGAAGTAGAAGAAGGGAAAGGGTCAGTTTAGACAACAGAAAGAAATAGCAGAACTTATCAGCGCAAATGAAGAAGCTTTAATAAGCTAGTGAAAAGTAGAATTAAAAGATAATAGAATTGTTCCAGAAACTTTTTGAAGCGCCCTCATATTATTATTTACTGTATGTGATATAGAATTTGGTGCAGGTGAATGGGAATTTTGAGGGCTTTCAAGAAAATTAGTTTCTGTGTTACAAGGTCTACAGCCATACCACTCTGAATGCGCCCAATCTCATCTGATCTCGGAAGCTAAGCAGGGTTGTTGTTGTTAGGTGCCATTGAGTCGGTGCTGATTCATAGCGACCTTATGCACAGCAAAATGAAACACTGCCCGAACTTGGGCCAACCTCACAATTGTTGCCATGCTTGAGCCCATTGATGCTGCCACAATCACGGTTGGTCCTGGTTAATACTTGCATGGGAGACCATCTAGAAATACCAGGTTCTGTTGACTTTTGGAGTCCTGGCATGGCACAGTAGAATAAGCACTTGACCATAAAGTTGGTTTGAACCCCAATATTGGCAGTTCAAACTCATCAGCTGCTCCTCAGAAATGCTATACCGGGTTGCTGAGTTAGAACTAACTCAACAGTATTTCATACTTACTTATACTAAATGTTACAGTGAGGTCCTATTATTCAGAAGTATGCTCTGATGCTGTGTTTATAACCAGGAAAAGAACAGAAAAAAATCTAAAGTTACAAAGAAGTGATATAGGAAGAAAGTGGGAAAGAAGTTCCGTAAAAATGACCTGTGCTGTCTTGCTGGTGACATGAAGAAATTATACTTCAGCCAAATCCTCCTTAGTGACTATTAGTGTAGGGCTTCTCCCAGGATTTCCCATAGTCACCCTTTGAGAAACATTTTCTTCTTTGCTGACCCCTTGGGCAATATCCAAAATCAAGATGTGTGGAATTTTCTACAGGAAAAAATAGAAAGGCAGGTATGAAAACAAGTGTGCAAATTGGAGCTCAGCTGGGTAACTTATAGGTCCCCAAGTGAATAGACTGAATTTCAATCCTAGCTAATGGTCCTTAAGCACATTTTGATGGAGTCACACTTTCCAACTTGGTAAACCTTTTGTTCCCTATTTCTGATTTGGCATTTGAGGAAATTTTATTTATAATAACAGGTAAAAGAGCAAATTATTGAGATGAGAAAAAGAAAACAAAAAGGATAAGGATTACTAGTTGATGAACATATATGTTCTTTGCTAAGAGCTCCTAATCAAATTTGAATAGGAAAGAGAGACCATTTAGCACATGAAAGAAAATCAGTGGCTGGTCTCATATTATTGTAAAGGCATATGCCTAAACATAGTCCAATTGGTAGCAAACACTGGTTAGTATTGGTAAAAAGGTGATCTGTATAGATTTTATAATCATTTTATTCCCCACATTTAATTAAAAATTGCCTTTGCCACTAAATTGCCTATAAATCTCTTGAGGATGGGGACCAAAGCTAAGTTTAAAAAAAAATTATTCCTTATTATTTCTTACTATTTATCCAATAAGAAACTGATAGTGCAGTGCATAGTAATTAGTAAGCACCACAGACACGACTGTGGAGTTGTTGAATGAAAGAGAAGTTGACAAATCAGACTGCTCTGGGATGTGATTTTGCAATGAATATTACTCTGGTGTGGCTCTGTAGGATAAGCACTAGACCGCTAACTGAAACAGTGGTTCAAACCCACCAGCTGCTCCTCAGAAACGCTATACAGGGTAGCTATGGATTGGAATTGACTAGATGTCACTTACCAACAACAAAAAAAAACAATAATCTTTATTCTGGATATATTATCAATATTGTGTAGATTTTCTGAATGAATTTGTAGTATAGGAACAAATGTAGTCAACTAGTTCGCTAGCATAACTGAAGAAATATCATCCTACCCTATGTTTAAAGGTGCTCTGGGAGCATAGTGTTTATGAATCGGGCTGCGAACCTCAAGGTCAGCAGTTTGAAACTACCAGCTGTTCCGCGGGAGAAAGATAAGGCTTTCTGCTCCCGTAAAGATTTACAGCCTCAGAAACCCTGTACAGGGTCGTTATGAGTCTGTTCTGACTCCATGGCACATAACCACCACCACCTAGGTTTAAGAAAGAGGATGGACCATGGGCATCTTCAAAAGCAGAACATTTTTTCTAAGTGGAAAAATTATAATTAACTATATATAATATTCTTTCTAATTGTGTGTTTCACCATGTGAAATTTTAGCTCTTGCAGTGTGGTTTTGGAATTCAAATGTTATCAATTGGAATTGACATTAATTACTTTTGTGCTGCTTGGCATATGCTGGACCATTATTTCTACAACAATTTCACCAAAGTCACTTAGGCAATTATCTCTGCTGTGATCATCGTCATCATCATCATAATTATTGCTATTAAATCTCTCCTGTTCTCCTCTCATCTCAGCTGGGCTCTGCACACCATGCTCCTCTTCTTTCCTCCATCTCCCCTACAGGAAGTCCCGTTCTCTCGCTTGTGGTGCAGTAACCGTCAGCCCCTGCACTGTGCCTTCTCCCTGGAGCGCTACACGCCCACCACTACCCAGCTGTCCTGCAAAATCTGCATCCGGCAGCTCAAAGGCCATGAACAGATCCTCCAAGTGCAGACATCAATCTTAGAGGTGAGTCATTGGTCTGCAGATGATTTGACCCTGTTCTGAAGAACAATAAGAAAAACAAAGCTGTACAAGTCTTGCTATACAGGTTGAGAAAGAGCTTCAAAATGAACTGAAGAGTTAAAGGCAACAGAAGTAAATATTATTACACACACAATCCTGCAATGATAGTAATAGCAATAATCTACCAGTGACTACATTGACAAATACATAGACTGAACAGGTATAAGAAGGTGAATGGGACCATACCCGTGAATGTATGTAGGTTTGACAGAGTATATTTCTACATATATACTTGCATATGCTGCAAATGTATCCATGACTCTAATAGGACATACAAGGGGCATAGTTATGAAAACTTCTTAGCCATAATCAAACAGCTTGAGGGAAAGAGTTGCTGGGCCTGGAAGCTCAGAACCATAGTCTTGGGGAATAGCAAGGTCAATTGACACAACGCAGTCCACAATGACAGTTCTGCATCCTACTTTGGGTAACTAGGGTCTTAAAAGCTTATGAGTGCCTATATAAGGTGGAGGAAAGAAGAGTGAAAAAAACAAAAGAGATGTGGAAAATATTAGTCCAAAGGGTTAATGGACCACAGGAAACCCTGTGACCAGAAAAACTACATAGTGTATGGCTACTACTACCAATGACTCTGAAAGTGATCACATTAGAAGTTCCTGGATAGAGAAATGTGGAATAAAACACAAAATTGGAAAAAAATTTAAAAGCCATCTGGCTTACTGGTGAGATAGAGACTGGCTATGGTGTATAACCACCCTTTAAGTATATAACTAAACTCATCCTTGTGGCTCAAGGCTGAACGTAACACCAGGGAGGTATATATTTCACATAGAATTATCAACTGTTCTGTATCTAAAGGGAAACATTTGCACAGGGACCAAGTTCAGAAGATAGAAAGGGGTAGGAAAGAACAAAGGATGGAAATGGGAAACAGGTAGTGGAATGAATGCTGTTATATTGGCTTGAATTTTCAGTGGAATGAAAGACAATGTGCATGAATTATTGAAAACAAAATGGATTTGCTCTGTAAACTTTCACCCAAATCACAATAAAAAGTTTTTTGGTTTTTGTTTTAAAAAGAAAGTGCACAGACAGTAACTTATGAAATTTTTAATGAAAAAAAAAAGGCAAACTAATGTTTAAGTGGATTTATGGATATTGCAAATGATTAAAACTCTCACTTGCTAACTAAAAGGTTGGAGGTTCAAGACTACATGCATGTAACTCAGAAGAAGAGCCCGGTGATCTACTTTTGCAAAATCAACCATTAAAACCTTAGCATACTTATACTCTGACACACATGGGGTTGTTGTTGAGTCAGATCAACTCAAGGCAACTTGTTAAGTGAGCTGGGAGGTGACTTCCCATGGACAATGAAATTCAACCCATCATAGAGCTTGTTGCATCCAACTCATGGAGACCCCATATGTACAGCAAAGTGGAATTGCTTAATGATATTTTGGAAGTAGTTTACCGGGCCTGCTTCTGAAGTACCTCTGTTGTTGTTGTTGTTAAGTGCCATCGACTAGGAGAGGTCAAACTGCCAAATTTTCATTTGAAGTCCAGCACTTGACTGTGTGTGCCACTTTAAGACTGTAAATGAATCTTTGGGGAAGGAGATGGTGCAGGGCTTTTGATACACAAAACCACAGACAATCTATGTTCCCTATTAAGCTTGCAATATCAGTTAAGATTCATTATTGGCCGAATCCAGATGGTACAGTTGAGATGTGTAAAAGAAGCACAATTTCACCATCAGGCTGTTTTCTGCTAGTACTGCCTAGTTTTGTCCTATATATGTGTGCTATTTAGTCTTGGTAACTTGGCTCCTTGCTGTTCTATAATTTCTGATGCCCTCCAGGTTTCTCTACATCCATATTTTCATTAAACCTGCATTTATCAATACAATCATATAAGTTAAGGAAGATATCAATCTCATTCTATAAAATAAGGTAATAGCAGTGTAGAGAGGTGAAGGACCTTGTCTAAGATCATATCATTATTGAAGGACAGAAATAAAATGGGAGTCAAAGGAGACTTCACTTGGGAACTTTTGCAAAAATATATCTGATCTCTGCCATGCCTCTGATTTGCCCCTAAACCATTCAAATGACTTTGTGACTCTGAATTTGAGTTTACAGAGTAGACAATAGGATAAAGGCAGTCCTTATTCAGTGGTTATTTGGGTGTAGAGGGAGAGAGTACGTGAGAGGTAGAATCGAGAGGAGGTTTGTAATGCTTTTCTTTAACAATTTGGCTAGTAGACGAAAAACACATTTTATTGTTCCCCTATAGGATAGACATATATAGACTTATGTGGAATCTGGTGTGGGGCTGTAGCATAAGCACTGAACAGCTATGCACAAGATCAGCGATGCAAACAAGGTCAGTGGTTCAAACCCACAAGCCACTCCTCAAAAACCATATACAGAGACACTATGAGGTAAAACCAATTTGATGGCACTTAGCAATAACAACACATACTGGAGTGGGTATATGTGTGTACGTATGTGTGTGTGTGTGTGTGTCTCT